CACACAGCACTACGATGAATGTAACAAAAACAAATACAATAATTCATGCATAAACTCTATATACAAATATTCGTCCAGTATGTAATTGATATATAAAAAAAAAACATCCACTAACAGTTCATACCAAATTCAATATCAAAAACATCCATAAGGCTATGTTTGATAACCTATATTTTCCATGGAAAATGGAAAAAAAATTCAATTTCCATGTTAAACACTTGTTTGATATGCAAAAGTTGGCAATTTTCCCAACTTTTTGGTGGGAAAATGAATTCCAACTTTTGGCTTTTTTTTNTCTCTTTTCAAGGAATTCATTTTCCCAACTTTTTGGTGGGAAAATGAATTCTAGCTTTTGGCTTCTTTTTTTTTTTGTGATGGAAATAAATTTAATAATCAATTGTATAAAAAATTTCACTTTAATTGATAATTTTTATATAAAACGAAGTCAAACGAACGCTAAACATTGATCAAAAAATGGTGAAAAATTATGTTCAAGCAAAATTTTTTTTTTTTTAACTTTTTGATAATGGTAACAAATTTCATAATCAATTGTAAAAAAATTTCACTTTAATGAACAATTTTCATATAAAATAAAGTCAAACGTGAATAAAAAGATCAAAATTTTAAAATTTTCAAGGTGGAAAATTATATCAATCAAACACACTTAATTAACAATTCCCAGGAAAAAAGTTCTAGGCAATTATTTTTCTAAAATTCATTTTCTTTCCACTCATTTTTCACCCTTGCAATCAAACGAATCCTAAGAAAAATCATCATCAGCCTCCAACATACACCAACATAATGTACCACAACATCAATTCAAACGATAATTTGGTCATTCATACAACGTTTTGCATATTCCACCACTTTTTAGTTGTCTATTCTTAAGAGTAAGGCTACAAGTTCCATCCTGACTTTCCCAGCATCAAATGACATTGACATCTTAGCGATATCATTGTGTAACAAAAATTGTGCATACTTGATTAGAAAAATTCAACAAACATACCTACAATATTTATGTAAGACAGACATTAGTAACTACAATATAAGGACGGAAATTATTATTTTTGTAAAATGAAGATAGACAATCCTACCCATTTTGTTGTTGAGGTAAATTAGGCACAATGTGAACAGTCAGCTCCTTGGACTATTCTTCTCCACCATCACTAGTTTCCATCCACAAACCAACCACTTTCAGGCAATTGTGTAAGTATTTTCACAATAAGTACCACATCTTTATAAACCATGTTGTCTATGTATGTTTTGTTGCTAGAATTGAAAATGTAAATGACACATGTATTAATGTCCAACTGCCCTAGCATCCAAAGAGTCTGATTTGTATGTATGATGGGCAGATATACGTATTCAACCTCTCTCCAAGATGCATTAAATGTTAACATTTCACAATTAATGGTTTGAGAAGTTTCTGCTTCTCATTCACGATGCCTAGGTCTTCGATAAAACTAGGGTATACTTTTCGGATTGACATGTCAAAGATGTAGTCCGTGGTTGTTGCATTCATCTTCGCACTATCCCCCAACTTTGTAAGTTCTCTAATGTAATAGAAGCACGCATCCAAATGCTGTCATGAATAAAAAATAACATACATAAGTTATATGAAATATTTCCATAAGTTATGGTGTGGCAAACAAATAATTGATGATCAGATAAATGATCCCCAATTTAGCCACATCATATTCAGGAGCATCATCATCTAGTGACAGAAACAACTTTCTAACGTCATGGCGTGTGATCGCCTTTAATTCATTGAAATACATTTCCTTAATAGGAGAAGGTTTTGCCTCTAACATGGGTTGATCATCAATACCACCATATTGCAGTCTTGTCACAAGGCAAAATTCAGCATTTGAGAAGCAAATGAATCTTCCATTTATGTTAAACCACATATCTTATTTGTTCGGTTGATTGACCGCCCGTAACAAGACTTGATGAATCAGCTGTGACTCAACAACTATATCCCTACAGTGCATGTAATAGGAGAAACATGTATCTTCAAGTATCTGCTTATGTGCATAATTGAATTTCATCATGAAGTTCGTGATGACATGCTAAATAAAGATGACTGTTATTTTGCTCGAAAACCATTTGCTTGGTTTATAAGATACCTACATTCCTATCCAAATCATAATGTACAACAAATTACTATAACTTCAACACATACATAAATACCCTTACACGAAAATATATATACACGATATTTTATAAAGGTTAGAAAACATCATAAACACCCTGACTCTGAACAAAACTAAAATCAAGTCACATATTATCCAAAATTAGGTCACAAACACATCATACATGTCACAACAGTTGATTAGATCACATAAATGTCACAAAGTTTGAAAATCAGGTCACAACCATGGTTGGCTGCAATCAATCTACCCGTACACTACAACACTAAATGGAAAGCAAATGCACAACAAAACTGAAAGCATAAACATCGATTCACCTCTTTCAAAGATTTTCCACCCGAACCTGATATCTTAACCCTCTTTCGTGGAGAGGATTCTTTAACCTCATTCTTCCTCTTACCTTTCTCTATCTCCTTCGTTTTTTGAATTTCCCTTTTAACGATTTTTTCAATGTGAAAGATGTTTTTACCAAATTTGTCATTAAGATTTCGAAACAACACCAAGAAGGCAAGAACATAGGACGAGTGGAGAACATAATCCAAAAATAAGTTAAAAAGTTAATGCAAAATAGGAATTAAATAATATAAAAATTTGTTTAGTGCATTCGTCTTTAACCACCATCTTTGGTTCGTTATTTTGAACTTGCAATTAACAGTTTTCAATCCGAAAGATGCATTGTGAAGTTTTTCATGAATACTTTAACATTGTATCAAGAATATATCCTGACAAACAAGAATATAGCTTGAAAATAAGTCAAAAAAAATTTCAAAATGAGAAATTTTAGTCTTTGGCTCATTAGAAACATCGCAGACCACCCAATGAAAAGTTTTGATCTATGTGCCATGCCTTCTATTAATATTTGAGATTTCAGCTTAACATATCAACATCGAGTACTGACCCAAATTTTTATACATTGGTTAATATTTTGGTATCAACTGATATGAGTTTGATTCCTTAACATGCTATCACGAAATGGTGACTCGTTTGAAAACACCATTTTTGAATGCTACATTCGTTTGAATTTTAGTTGGATCATTATTTATTGGAACTTAATGAGTTTTGATACCATATTAAGACTTAATGTCCCATCTTCCTTGTTAAAAGGGGTAGATCAACTCCGTTGATTATTTTTTTAATCTACATTCAATGTGGAATTTATCCCTTAACATACCAAACAATGTAGTATATCTTTTGAGTCATAATCAAAGCAAATTGCTTGTTTAACCTTAATGGGCCGTGATACTAAATTAAAATTTGAGATTTCATCTATGAAGGTCAACTTTATTATTAATGAAAGTGGTTCAAACCTTATATATTCCTTAATATTTTGGTACTGAACAGATGTAAAATTTATCCATTAACAGTTCTTTTAGTTCGAATCGATAACTGAGTAAGAATTGTATATTTTCAAATTTAAGACCTAAAGTTAGCAAATTTTAATTAGGATCGAATTGAATCGAATCAATCAATTTGATAGATTCCAATGGTTTTAGAAAGAAAATTCACCACAAGTTTCTAACTATATCTTCCATATATTAAAAGTGGCTATGTAACGGAATTTCTTGTTTTTAACGGAAAAACTAACGGAATTTGTTGTTTTAACGGACTATGTAACGGAATTTCTTGTTTCAAACAGCCACCTGC